AGAGATATTACCAGTTAATAAATACAAACTAAAAATATCAAAATGAATATAAAACAAGTGTAGTTTTTTGCCATTTGATTACAATTGTTATTGATTGTATTTTTCTTCATGCTATTTGTTTAAAGTTTCAGAGCTATTTTTGGTTGATCTTGGACAAACTTCAGTTTAATTTTCCATAAATTGTTCCAAAAATGAACGAAAACCGATGTAATATGAATAGTGGCGTTGAACTTTCGGTGATTACCAATTCAGATTGGTACAAAATAGCATTTTTTTTCTTTTTCCCAAATTTTTACTTGGTCTCTGAATGAACCAATTTTACTGTTCTAAGTTTAGTTTCTACAATTATGGCTGAAATGAAAAATCTTCCATTTTGAAGATCCATCAAGTAGATTGAAGATTGTGTGAGTATCAAATTGATTGGCGCTCCATTGTAACAGCAATTGCATCATCAATGCTTTTCATGTTGGTTCCACGCCATTCTTTACCCAATCGATTCTGCACCGCCTTGTAATCCTTTTCGTTATCGAATCCAAGCGAGAGCTTTTTCAACGATGTGCACTTTTTCATGTACGTCACCACTTCATCAAGCGGAAAAGCGGAATGTCCAAAATCAACTTTCACTAAAGCTGGCGATGCGACCTTCAATAGCGAGCCCTTTTCACCGTATTTATTACCCGAATAATCCAGCATGATGAGTTTTTTGTGCTTGCTGATGAAATTAGCCAATGTCTGGTCCATAGCAATCGATTTAATATCCAAATATTCAAGTTTGTCGAATGTCAGTGGAAATTGTTGAAGCACCACTCCTCGTAGTAACAGATTTTTCACATTTGGAAAGTGAACGGTGTCGTTTCCAATATTCGAGATGTTTCCATGTTTTAATGCACAGATTGCCAGAGTTTCCAGATGCTGTAAATGTTCGCTAACGCTTTGAAGGCATTGGACATCGATGTTGCCACCAATGAACAAGATTCGTAGGTGCGGGTTTAGACGCAAGAGTTCAAGAAAATATTTCTTTTCATTGAATAGAAGAATCAGAGTCAAATGTTCAAGGTCAGGAAAATGAACAGCGGTCTCATCACAATCTAATATTTCTTTTACGCACAATAATTCTAAGCATCGAACTTTCGGGAACCATTTATTGAGCTCCGACAGCTTCCTTTCCAATCGGCAGTCAACAAAACAAAGTGTTTCAACTGTTGAGAATGGCTTCTTTAGATTGTCCAGTGTGCTTGCTTGGCAGAAGTTAAATTCGATTTCAACCAGTGATTTGGCACAGTATTCGTTGACATAACGATCAATGTGTGCGGCACGTTTTGAATCCTCTTGTGATGGCTCACGTACATAGGTAATCTTTAATTTTGCGATCAAGTGTCCAAAGCAGCGTAACAACTTGAAGCGGAATGACCATGGAATTTCAGCTGTTAGCGAATCTGTGACCTTTTCAGAGAAACCCACAATCTTGCGTTCCATATCGATTTTTATCGATCGTTTCCCAAACTGGCTCCTGAACGCCAAGTCCACCGCCGGTTTCAATTGTTGGTTGGAGTCGGCAACATTCAAGAGATCAGTTAGGCTTAGACGCTTGAAAATTTGCTCGAGACAATCAGTGTTGACGTCTGTCAGCTTTTGTTGCTTCTCTTCTTCTTCATTACGCCGGCGCAATCTTGTGTAATAGATCTTTGTTGGTTGATGGACCATTTTGTTAGATGAACGTTTCTGAAATTGGAATAAGCATTGATTCGTTAGTCAGTCCGAATTTCAAATGAAATTTGAACATTTTGCACACAAATCCGTTGAGTGTGCATCCAATTTGGTCACTATATCAAATGAATACATTGTGAGGTTATGAGCTCTCTACACTACCATTTTTGCATTGAAACAAAGTATACATTAAACTAATTTGATGGCGAACAGAATGTTCTAGTCTATGAGTCCCTTCCAAATTTATTGTTCAAAATTATAAATAAAGTCAGAATTTTCATCATGATTCTTACATCTGTGATAGCTTTCACATCGGCAGCTACGACTCCGGACGACTTGAAGCGCTTGTTCGCCGGTGTGTTGGTTTCTTCTTGTTGTCGTTTTCGACTGGCGGTCATTCTACGAGTATTCATTTTTCAGCGAGGATTTTTAACTAATTTGAGAAGTAAAATTGATGATTCAAACTTTTTTGGATTTGACAACGGAAATGTCTGATAGACTAAAATCGCAATCGAATAAAACTTGAGTCTCAATCGACCCACTTCGTGAAGCAAGAAATCCAATGTTCAGAATGGTACTTACATTTCCAGAGAAAACAATGCGAAGAACACGGAAAAATCGATGGTTTTTTATGTTAGGCTATAATTTCTTATAGTAAATACACTTTTTACTCGAAAAAATCCAATTACTTGAGAAATCAATGATTTCAGAATACTTTTCGTGTTTGTTGCGATCAAATTACGGTAATGCGGAGATTATATTTGGCGACTGAAATTGATGGATGACGACGCTGTTACAAAATGTCAGTTTGGTGTTGCCAAAGCCACGTTGAAACATTATCATCGTATAATACTTGAATAACTGTTTCAGTTTTTTTTTTAAATGTTTGATTTTTCATTGAATAATAAAAATAAAATTGAAATGTGTTTATTGCGATTTCCACAGAAGCATAATAATAATTTGTTATTCTGCTTTCGTAAAACTGAATTTTTTCTATTCAATTCCAATCCATTCAAATGGTTGGCCTTTGAACCATTCGAATTACGAACAAAATGAGGAGGGAGAATACATTAAAGAATAAAAAGAAAATTCAGGTATTTTCAAATACTGAACCACAAAAGACTATTCTCGTACACTGTTTTGTACATCGGTTATACCGAATTTAGTTTAAAACATCTCTTTCCTGGTAGGATCAAAGGATTAAGTTGACACTTTGTACTAATTGCCTACTTTTTCACCCAGAAATACCATTAGTTGGGTCCTCATGTAACGAAAAAACACGACCGAATCCGATTCAATCCGAAAATAATGGTATTTCTGGGTGAAAAAGGAGGCAATTAGTGCAAAGAGTCAACTTAATCCTTTGATCCTACCAGGAAAGAGATGTTTTAAACTAAATTAGGTATAACCGATGTACAAAACAGTGTTCGAGAATAGTTTTTGGCCCAATAGCAATCAGGATTCCGTTGGTCTTTTATCCAGGAACCTGTGGTATAGAGTATCTATGGAGCGTCTCTTGTCGGATTACCGTCCTCCGTGATAGCGATTAGCATACAATCGAATTTAAATGATATTATATGGGATTAAATGGTACAAAATTTAGGTAAGTCAAGTACCATTCCAAGTGCTCTTAAGCCGATTAGGGTGAAAAAAATAATTTCGAGAAGCCTAAGCTCATGATTTGGAATAGGTATTCTCGGATTTTTGGCATCGATAAAATGTGAAAGATCATTCACGGGTGTTCTTCAACTTCAGGGTTAGAAATTGGACTAAACTTGCCTATAAAAATGTTGTCTTTCTTTAAAACAACTCAGTAGAATTTTGAGCCTCAAACAGTCAATTTTATGTTAAATATTGGTATCAAGTAATCGTAATAATTGAAAATTGTGTGGATATTACGAACAAAATGGGTAAGTATATTGAATTATAAGTAAGAAATTAGATGAAAATAAATTTTGACCACAAATATATACATTTCGTGAGTTGTTACCATGGGATGCTTCTTCTCTTTAGAGAAAAAAACATAAATATACCATATTCTACTTCTTTATGGGCTTTAGTCAGTGTTTTTTTTTTGTATAGAAATCGTCATTTCAGTGAATTTGTCAATGAAAAAGACGATTTCATTTATTATGCAAAAATAATTTCGGAATATTTTATTGTTTGTTTCAGAGACTGAAATTTTCGGGATCTTCCTCTTCTTCTTATTGTGAAAT